CATGATCCCAGGGTCTTCAGATCGAGTCCCGCATCAGACTCCCTGCTCAGCAGGGAGCTGAGAAGAAGGGGGCTCCTTCAAACCGTAATCTCCGGTCCGTGTGCAGAGGAAATCTGGGAGCATTTGTAGCAGGTGGATAGAAGAAGCTGCTGCCCCTTTGCTTACAGTGGCCCGTCGGGTGACATCAGCAGCTTCTTGGAACAGTCTCTGGTCGTTTCCCCCGAATGACCAGAGGAAACTGTTTTTCCAGCACAGCTTCTTATTTAAGTTAAAGCCCATAACACAGAAGAGAAATTAGAGCACAAGCGTTCCAGTGTCTCCACTTCTGACAAGTAGTTGATATTCAGTGTCACATTCCATCTTTCTGTTTTCCTTTGGAAAGAATACATCATGTAAATACATTTTTACATATCCAGATTTCCATTGTTCAGAGGCAAATGTATAGTTGGGGTGTCTGCCCTGGGCATGTGACTAATGCTTAGATGACCATTTTATGCCCCCATTATATTCCATTTTATTCTTACAACAGTAAAAGCAAATCTGCTCAAAGGCGGATTAAATCTTCAAAATCAAGAGGATTTTCTGTTCGAAAATCTATTGCATCACAGAATGATTGCCAGCACCACTGAGCCCTGCTATATCTGGGTGATACACAAGATGCCTGAGGGCAAACCTGGGCACCTACGGGGACAGTGTCTTGTTCAGGTCCCGCCACTGGAACACAGCGGAGCTGGAATTTCATCCTCAGCCTGAATCCAGAGGGATCGCGCTTTCCCCCCTGCCTCAAAGGCCCTTGTCATGCCTTAGTTTCCAAATAGAATTTAACAATACAAGCAAAATAATTCAGACTAATTAGAATATTAGATTTTGCGTTTTCTTTTCAAGCATACGGATACATAACTTTTTTCTCAACTGACATTTTTACAAAAACACTTTGCCTCTCTGGCTTCCCCCTCCCCCCTGAAAGCTGACGTTCTTTGAATTTTGGAGGATAACCTGCCCAGCTCAGATTCCATCTCACACCCCAGGACAGATGCCCTGGTAGGCTGCCGCTGGGGAGGCCGTTTGCCCCCTCTTCCTCCCTTATGCAAGGTGTGCCTGAGGCTGATAAAGTGTTTGGTAACAGACTTCCCTTACTCTGTTGTTGGCCTGTCCAGCTGGTGTTGAAATGCCAGCGATTCCTTCTTCCCTGCTTCCACCCCTGGTGAAAGCTAACCACGTAACATGTATGACTCATGCTTATTGAAAGATTCGTTTCCAGCAAGAGGTCAACTAACTTGTTACACGTTCATATATAGGTTTGGGGCGAGGGGAAGTTACACAAGTGTGAATCCCGCTTATTAACTGTTACTCGGTCATAAAACAATCCCCAAGTCCTGCCAATGTTCTCTTCTTTGCAGTTCTCAAGTCAGTCCCTTGCTCAGCCTCCTTTTTGCCTCTGTTCAGCTCAAATCTGCATACACTCCTACCTGGGTGACTGTGGCAGCTGGGCTCCTGGCCCTGGGGAGCCAGGCGGAACCCCCAGAAGCACAGTTTGACTGTTTACTGCCCAGCTTTACGACCCTCTGAGCCACGAGTGGCTCCGACATTCCCAGCCCTTTGTGCCCTGCCACATGTCACCTCCTGGCCACCCAGTGCACGTGACTCTGTCTGCTCAGATGCCCCCAGACAGCTGCTGCCTCCTGCCCCTGTACATTGTCCTGACCCTGCTGCACGCTTCTCCACTCCTGCCTTTACCCAGCTCACCCCGCGCCCATCCTCCTTTAAGACCGCTCCAATGTCGGCTCCTCCAAGAAACTGTCTGCTCTCCCTTCCCTGCCTGGGCCGTCCACAGCAGCAACCTGCACTTCGCACGCTCTTGGTGCCCACCGTTCTCAACTCGGTGCGCGCCTCTGGCCCTTGCGTAAGGCTGCGCTGCTGGCAGGGCCTGGACGGAGTGAAAGTGCCCTTCCAGCCCCGAAGTGAAACAGATCCCGGGAGTGTGTGCGGAGTCCTCACAGCAAAAACTCTGCTGGATTGAGTCGGCCCCATGTCCCCTGGCTCGGGTATGGGGGAAACCGTGGCCACTGATATTAACCTGAGCTTATACCCCAGAGCTGTCCCTCGAAATTTCTTGCACACTGTACAAAAGAGCCGTGCGCCGTCACTGTCTCACCACGCCTCGTCCCAGTTACGATCATCCGTGGCTCTGTAATCCTCACGAGAGGGCTGCTTCCCTGAAGTTAAAGTACAAGGCCTCCGGGTAACATTCTCAGTGTTCTCGTCTCTGTGACGTGAACGCTTTCCCTGGGGAAGGCCAGTAAAGCAGAGGCTTCAGAGAGAGGGTGAGTGGCGGACTCTCCATCACTCCTTTGAGCTTCACTCCTCCTTGGGGCTCTGGAATGAGCACCAGGGACAGGCAAGGAACATGCGTGGCAAAAGACAGATGTCACCTGGCCCAAACAGGCGGCCTTTCAGGAGGCTTGACTTGGGATGTTTTCTTCTTGTTTTTCACGTGACCGTGGTGCAGACAAGCCACAGGCCTCCCCCCGTAAGCCCACTGTCAGTATGCTCCCCGGGCCGTGGGGTCCCAGGAGCACAGTTTCTAGAGGCTTCCAGGCCAGCGCAGACTGCCTGTCGCATGTGCTACATTTAGATTTGGCTTTACCTAAAGAGTGCAGAAAAGGGTTTTAATAGCGTCTGAGTTGTTTGGGCAAAACAGGATCTGGCATCTCGAGCTTGGGTTTGGTTTTGTCAGCGACGAGTGGGAGCAGGTGGTATAGGCAGTCCGTGAGATCCCTTATCAGAGTGGTCAGTGAACCCTGAAGCTTTGGGTCTGCGGGCCTCCCTGAGACCTTCTGGTCCTTTTTAGCCCCAGGCCTTAGTGTCTGTGTCTGTCATGGCCAGGTGTCAGCAGAAAGGCCTCCTGGAGGGCGTGTCTCTCTCTGTCCTTCAGAGCCCTGTGACCTTCATGGGTGTCTCTGCTTGGTCACAGCAGAGCCAACAAGATAATGGCATTGTTCTTCCACACAGTGAGATCACCAGCAAGACTCTACTCTTCCAAGATGGGTCCTGTGAAAATAAAGGAACACACACACACACACACACACACACACACACACACACATCTATTTATGTGAGATTCGGTTTCTTATCAGAAACAAGTCATTTACATATTAACAGGATGACTAGCTTCTGGCTAAGAATTCTGACACTTTAGTGCCACAATTCAGAATCAGGCTAAATTTGTCAAGTGGCTGAAAGTGAGGTTTTTCAGAAATTATTAGCTAATTTTTTCATTATAGAATTTATAGTCACAATTAGTATATCATAATGATGTTTCCAGGATAAAATACCAGCAGCTCAACTTTTCTGGCCACAAATGTACAACATATATCAGTTTATTTTTGGAGATCTGAAGAATTAGCTACTGTAAATAAAGTCCCCAAGAAGATTTCTCCGGGAAAGAGGTGAACTTACAGTAATATGGGTGATATATTATTAATTAATAACTATGACCAGTGCTGCTTCAATTAAAAGGAAAATGGATGAGAAAGAATTAGAAAAAATGTGCTTCATCTCACCAGCCCTGAGGTCTGCAGAGCAAACCAGGGAAGGTTGTTGCTGAGGCTGTCTGCAGGAGGGTGACACCAGCTGCTCCCGTCGGGGAACTTCGCTGAGCGCTGACTGCGGGTCTCTCGGAAGCATTGCTCATTCGGTTGCCAGGAAGGGAAACCAACTTCAAAATAGCTTAAGGGAAAAAGAGGACTTTCTTGGAGAGCCACAGCCTCCCATAACTCAAAGGACAGCATGTGCCGGTGGGCAAGGGAGGGCTTCACTCGGGACTGAGACAAGCAGGCATCCGTGTCTTTTTGGAAGAGGGAATCTGATTGGCATGTCTGGTCCAGAGGACAGGCACATGGCCCCTGTCTGCAGGTGTCACGATACAGTAGACAGGTTTCTTTGACCAGACACATATGGTATGGGAGAGCGCCTAGAAGTACAGCTATGAAGACTCACCCAAGGAGGTACCAGGTGAGCTGAGTCACACAAGATCGGCAGCCCTTTTCCAGACAGGTCGTGAGAGAGGACGTCCCAGGCCTAGGCTGGTGGGAAGGTGCAGTGCCGGGGGCCAGCCTGTGCATGGGAGTGAGAGGAAGCAAGAGGGGCAAGGCAGGAAGCGGTCCCAGAAATGACAAGGTTATTCTGAAGGCGGTGGGAAAGGGGCATGCAAGAATTTGGTTCTGGGAGAGATTTGTGTATTCGGAGCATCTGAACCCCTGAGCTCAGACACCTGCCATCCTTCCAGGGTAGAAACGACTGGAGGCCCAGGAGCAGCTTCCAGGCAGGGTCACAAGACCAGGACCCCCTACCCCGCAGTAGCCAGGGCTCTGGAGAAGCCCCGTGATAGGGTTACCAGCAGCCTTTGTCCTTCCTGTTGTGCATTTATTTGGCTTTGAGTACAGTTACTTTATTTTTAGAGTAAAAATATGGAGTTCAGGGGCGCCTGGGTGTCTCAGTTGGTTAGGCGACTGCCTTCGGCTCAGGTCATGATCCTGGAGTCCTGGGATCGGGTCCCGCATCAGGCTCCCTGCTTGGGAGTCCGCTTCTCCCGCTGACCTCCCTCCTCTCATGCTCTCGATCTCTCTCAAATAAATAAATAAAATCATTTAAAAAAAAAATGGAGTTCATTGGCCTTCTACCTTAAAAATACCACCTTTTCCACATACTTGTCTAGAAGTAATTCTGTAAAGCCTTCCTAATGTGGCGTTGCCCTGAACACAGTCAGTGGAATGAGACCTAACAAGCCGTTTGATTTTTTTTTTGCGGGGGGTGGGGGGGTCCATTTTCTCCCCAGCCTGGGATAAGAAGAATGAACTGCTCCAGGGACAGCCGGCCACACCGCCTTCCCTTGCTTTCGCTTGAACTGGAGTGCCAGGGGGAGAATGGGGGGGGCCTCCCCAAGGGGAACTCACCAGAACTCCCTCAGCACTACCTTTTCTCTCTCTGTCTCTCTCCAGGTCACGCAATATTTAAAGTCACGTATCTAAGCAATCATGACTATAAACACCTCTACTTTGAATCTGACGCTGCTACTGTCAATGAAATCGTGCTCAAGGTGAGTGTCCTCCGCAGGCCGGGCGCTGGGCGTGCAATGGGCGTGCAGGGCCGGGTCTCCCGCTGCCTGCGGCCCCCTCCTCCCAGCATGGACAAGACTCCTGGGCCCAGTTTGCAGAGAACGAACTGCCTTCTGGTCACCCAGGCGGGGAGCACCCGCACCCAGGGCCGCCTCCCAGGTCAGCTGCCCCTCTCCTACTTCAGCCAAAGCAGGGCCCCCTCCGGCTCCCCCCCGCCCCCGCTCATTCGGATGAATGACCGTCCACGCACCGCTATTTCCTCCATTCCATTGTCAGGAGCTCCCTGAGGCTCCTGGAATGGATTCAGAGGAAATTGTTGTTATTAGGTAAAGACACTTAATGTACTCCGGATAATTTTAGCAACCTGTTCCGAACATATCCGTCTCTACGCTACAGTTGTGCGTTACTGTGTCTGAGCAGTGCACACTGAGCAGCTTCGTGTGCTGGGCTAGCCCTGGGGATGTTGCAGTGACAGACCCGTGCCCTGGTGCCAGAAAGCTCTTCCTCTGTCAGAGGAGACTAACATTAAATTACAGAGATTGTTAAACAGTCACAAAGGTCCCATGTAGATGTGAAAAAGGTAAACTGATGGGGGATGGCGGGGCTCAGGGAGAGCTGAACCCTGAAGGATGGGTGAAAAAGCAGGTGAGGAGAGAGAAGGCATCTCAGGCAGGAGCAGCCTGTGAGGGGACGGCAAGGCAGAGCGAGCGCGTGGAGGGAACAGAGCAGGGTGGGAAGGCCAGGTCGCACGGAGCCTTGCAAAGTGGGGCCAGGCCGAGAAAAGTTCCCCTGGGGCCTTGCCGGTTTGGGAGGCCGGGGGTGGGCCTCGAGCCTGTGGGTCTCGAGGAAGTTTCCGGGTGCCGCCGGGCTGTGGTGTGTGCACTGTGCTCTGAGTAGCTCTGGACGAGTGGTTCTCAGACTCTTCCAAACGGAGAATCCTTTCTCCCAGCTGAGTCTTGCACAGACAGAGCAGATAGGAACCACCAGGCTGCATGTGTTGGCGGAGCAGGACTCACCGGCAGAGGGGCTCCCCGGCCTGTGGCTGTCGCACTCCTGTTCGTCCCGTCCCCTCAGGGCCTCAGTGTCTCTTCCTGTAAAATGGGGATCGTAGCAGGTGCGCTGCCCCACCCCAGAACACAGATAAATGAGGTAGGGTGAAACTACCCAGATGAGTGTTCTTTCTCCTCTGGAGAGTAAAAGCCATCAAGTAATAATAGTGGAAGTAGCTAAGCCAGGGGCGCCTGGGGCGCTCAGTTGGTTAAGCATTCAGGTCTGGATTTCAGCTCTGGTCATGGTCTCAGGGTCCTGGGATCGAACCCCACGTGGGGCTCCCTGCTCAGCGTGGAGTCTGCTTCTCCCTCTCCTTCTGCTGCCACTCCACCTGCTTGTGTTCTCTCTTTAGCTTTTTTTAAAATAAAATAAAATTTCTTGGCACCTGGGTGGCTCAGTGGGTTAAGCCGCTGCCTTCGGCTCAGGTCATGATCCCAAGGTCCTGGGATCGAGCCCTGCATCGGGCTCTCTGCACAGCGGGGAGCCTGCTTCCCTTCCTCTCTCTGCCTGCCTCTCTGCCTACTTGTGATCTCTGCCTGTCAAATAAATAAATAAAATCTTTAAAAATAAAATAAAATTTCTTAAAAAGTAGCTCAGGGATTGCAGAGTACAGGACCCGAGCTGAGCACTATATACCCTCTTCCACGGAACCTTTGTGGTTCTGCAAGATAGTAGCGGAAAATCGTCCCCATCTCCTACATGAAAACTGAGGCTCAGAAAGAAAGAAACTTAGCTAGGACCATGACTGACAGACCGGACCTGACCCCAGGTTTGGCAGCTTCCAGAACCTGTGCTCCTAACCCCCGGATGTGTGTACCCTTAGGGAGTTGAATGACAGGTTTCAACCGAATTATTTTGCAAAGACTTTTGGGAGGCCGAGTCCTTATGGCTACAAAAGATTTCCAAAAGTAGTAGATGCAATGAAAAGGATAAAGCCACTGAGGGGACAGCTGGGACCAGAGCCCCCCTCAGACCAGGCCGTAGGGCCAGAGGGCTTGCCTCCAGTGCTTGAAACCAGCAAGCCAAGAGTTACTTGCCAGATTGCCACCAGACAGCACAGGGAACTTGTTCAGTGTTTGGGGACCAGGTAAAGAAATATTCCATTACCCCATCAGGGGCTGGCCTCTTTTTTATAGCCAGCATTAAAATATTCAAGACTTGAGAAGGATTCTAGTAAAATTATAATCCTGTGTTTGACATCAAAATAATTTTCACAACAGCAGATTGATGACAGAAACACAGGTTTATGACTTCAGTACGAGGCTCCGCAGGAGCAAGTGCAGAGAAATCATTTCACGGGACCAAATGCTCCCTTGAAGCAGATGCTTTGCTGCAAAATCCCTGAGGCCTGTCGCCTCCCCTGAAATGTCTGTTTTCATATGAAAATGTTTGTAGAAATATTGCATCATGCTCGAGACTCCAGGAGAGTCACAGCGTGCCCGGGCCTGATTTACTTAGAGAGCTAATGGTCATGATCCTGATGGAAGATTAAATTTCACTTTTTCTGTCTCTGATTTTTATAGCAATTTAAATACTTAGCCTTCTGTGCCATCCCCACAGTGTCTGAGCTTTGCACCAATACCAAGTGACTGAGGCCCCAGCCCTGTGTTCCAGAGTGTGGCAGAAATGTTCCCACCAGAGGCTCTCTCAGGAGTCAGTCTTAGACTCAAATAATGCATGTGGCGGTTCTAGAATTCGGGAGTTTGACATAAAACGAGAGAAACTGACATAAAAACGAGAGAAACTGACATAAAAAGTTTGACATAAAACGGAAACTGAAGAAGAAGATAAGGACCAGAGACCGATGTCCAAGAAACCGTTAAGAACAGGCAACTCTCCATCAAGTGGTTTTATCCCATTGCATTTTTCCCCAGGTAGAAATATTAATAACGTCTCCCATTCACTGAACACCAATTGCATACAAGACATCTTACGTAACTCTTCGGTCTTCGCTATTGGCCTGCAAAGCGTAGACATTATTATCGCCGTTCTGTAGATGAGGGGACAGATACCCACGGCCACAGAGTGTGCGACAGTGGTCCAACCCCAGCCCTGAGGAGCCCCTTCCACCCCGAGCCATCAGTGAGCTAAGCCATGTGTGGTCCCTAATTCTGCAGGCTTCGAGATGAATCTCAGAGGAATCATTGGTCTCTTCAAATTGGGTTCTTCTTGTGATCGAGTGATGGAGGCTGTGGCTTTATTGACCATGAAAACTCCCTATATTTTTATGCCTTAAGCTGTAAAATGCATTGAAAGTGAAACACTCTGTAGTGCATAAAATTGTGCAAGTTTTAAGCCACAGCATATTAACCAGCTAATGGCAGACCAAAGGGCGTTTTTATCTTTTGATTATTACATTAATCTTCCATTAAAATTATCTCTGTGATTATCACAAAGCACTGAAGATAATAAATTTAGGAGATAGTTGGCTAGTTAAGGATCATTTTTAAATGCTTTCGTCAAGTTATATGTGCCAAAGATACACTGAAAACACTAGGTTGGCTGAGCGTGCAAACAATATAATCCAAAGATGGCTCTTATTAAGAATGATAAAACCTCTTCTTTCCATACATTGTCTGTAGTGTCCCGAGTCGTCAGCCCGGCCCCGCAGGCCTCATGATTTATTGCACTCAGCTGGTAACTTGGCGAGGCAGCGGGCCAAGCATGTCAGGCCTTCTGTACTCACACACCAGCCTTTAACGCCTGCTGCTGGCAACTATCAGAGCAGAAAGTTTGGAGGGGACTCGGTGTCGGGGCCTCGGCCCACAGGAGGCACGCCATCCCGCCCGCCTCCCCTGCACACCCTCGGCTGCTTTCTCAGAGGCAGCAGGGGCCGCTCCCGCTCAGGGCGTGGGCCACGCGGCCCTCGGGGGTGAATCAGGCCGTGGCAGGTTTCTGGAGTCAAAAATAATTCAGGTTGCTGGTAATAACGTGAGAGCAAAGAGAAAGGTGTTTGCTACGAAAAGCCCCAGCCAGAGGCTGGCAGGGGCGGAGGGAGAGATGGTATCTGAGGGGTGAGGGGTGAGAGCACCTCTGGGGAGGCCTGGGGAGCTACAAGTATGCCAGTGAAGGGACACCCTGGTGCAGACACTTACTAGTTCTGTGGCCTTGAGTGAAGGACAGTACCATTCTCTGCCTTGATTTTCTCATCTGCACAGTGGGATGATAGTGGCACCTGTCTCACTCCAGGAGCACTGCTGCCACCACACCTTCCGGCCAGGGGTTCAGACTCTACACTGGGCCCCAGTCCAATTCCAGCACCACCGCCCTTCCCTGGCTCTGCCCGCCCCACCTGGGCTGGGCACAAAGCAGTTAAGCGCCCCAGACGCACCCCCTCCTTGCTGCCTACCCCTGCTACGCTGGGATGTGTGCTGGTTCTCCCTTGCCCCTGCCCCTGGTACACCCCAGACTCCTACTGTTTATTTCTCAAAACCCAGATCGCTCATTCCTCTGCAAGATTTTCCTGCCCTACACATCCCCGATATTTATCTCCTCCATCCTGCTCCTTTTGTCTCTGGTGTCCCGCGTGTCATGCTGTCGAATACTTACTAAGCAGTGAGCTCTTTGGATCAGGGACCAAGTCTTACTTTTTCCTCTGTCTCTCGAACCAAGCCTGGAGCCAGGCTCAGACCCGGTGGGCGCTGCAGTGACTGTGTGCTGCTGCGGCTGCGGCCACCCGGGAGCGGCCTGGCTGCGCGCTCTGCACACGAGACCTTCACAGCTTTGACCCTGACCTCTGGGTGATCCTGGTCAGCTCAGCCCTCTTCCCCGACCTTCATTCCTTCTTACCGGCTGCGCGCTGGCCGGCAGGGTGCTCACGGGCAGGAGATGAAAGCTCGTAGTTGGAAGCTCTGTCCCTACCATGGGGAGGCTGAAGGTAGAGCCTTGGTTCGGTTGGCTTTTCATCCCTGCAGTGTCTTTTCTTTCAGACGAGGAAAGGGGGGCTCAGGGAGTCATGTGCAGGCCCAGGACTGCGCAGCGGGTGAGGAGCCTGGCACACAGCCTTCTGGGGGGCAGCGTGTGCTGAGGAGGGGACACAGGCTGCGGAATCAGGAACCTCCCCCAGCCTCCCTCCAGCAGGACTGAGAGGCCGGGACCAGCCGCTGGTCCTCTCCAGGCCTCCATTCTCCTGTCGTGAAGTGGGCCCCATCCCAGCCCGCCAGGTTGCTGTGACGACCGGGCTCCACACACAAGAGAGCACCCGGCCCTGGGGTTCCCAGCGCAGGTCAGGGCCCTTCCCCTCTTGGCCCTGAGCGAACAAGTGGCTGCTGAGTGACCGGGCTGTGTCCTCTTGCTTTCTAGGTTAACTACATCCTGGAATCACGAGCAAGCACTGCCCGGGCTGACTATTTTGCTCAAAAACAAAGAAAACTGAACCGACGTACAAGCTTCAGCTTCCAGAAGGAGAAGAAATCAGGGCAGCAATGACACTGGCCTCCAGCCCCAATCTGTCACCGTAGCTCAGAGCCTGCCTGCCAGGGCCAGGTGGCCCTAGAGCCCACCCTGTGTCCTGCAGCCCTCGGGGGCAGGCCAGTCCCTGGCTCACAGGCACAAGGTCGGGGGGCTCTTGGGGGAACGGAGCTGGGGACATCCCCACGGGACTGAAGCCTGAGTGGCAGTGGCTTTGATGAGCAGTGCCGGGGGCCCGACGACACACACGGCACCGCAACCATCCTCACTGCCCGACGGCCCTGCCTGAGGCTGTACATAGCCATGCCCAGACATTTCCTTGCAACTTGATCAAATTTCTTAAAACAACCGAAGAACAAAATTGTACATTTCTTTTTTTTTTTTTTCCTTTTAATAAACAGGTGTACTCTTTATCATGGTTGGTATGACGGGCGTTCTTTGGGGCAAAGGATTGATCATGTCATTCTCTTTAAACCTGTTCCCGTATTGAACAGGCAGATTGGAAAAGCTATGGCTCGATTTCTCAGAAGAAATGTTTAGGGCTTAGTCAATAGCTTTAACTATGCCATTTGTTTAAATGAGTGCATTGCTTTGAGGATAGTATCTTACTAAAGTTAGGATGGGGGGGCCTGGTGCTGTGTGTCCCGGGCTCCCCCTTCAGAAGACACCTCTCTTCAGCTCGTCCGGGCACCTCTTGGTTTCAGAGATGGTTTCAGAGATGCGGGACTGCAGGTCCGGCACCCGTGCTGGGAGAGCGGGGTGACGGCTGGTCTTCAGGTCAGCTTCCCGCCAGAAGTGGGCTTTTCCATTTCTTAAATAGCAAGTGTATGTTTCAGCTAGCCAGTAGACCTGCATGTGGGGTTTTCCGGGAATTGGAAACGTCTCTGCTTTACTGACTCAGAAGGGCCTCCGCGCCCCCTTCTTCCTCTCCATACAGTGCCTGCCTCCTCGTCTGAGCAGGCTGCAAGCTGCTGTTTCTCCCTCTGCTGGAGGAGTGGGGAGGGGGGTTGGTGAGCAGAGGGGGCGGGCAGAGGGGAGCCTGCTCCTGCGGGGTCCGACTGACTGCTCGCTGACACCACACCCCTGGCCACACCAGATGCCTCAGCGGTCCTCACCAGCCTCTCCACGGTCCCTCCCAGGGGGACATCCTTTCGTGCTGTCCCCGGCCAGGGTCGAGGACCAGACGTTTCACCGAGGACCTGCACTTCAAACAATTTTTTAAATTGTTGTACAAGAAGAGATGTGCCGAAAACAGCATCTCCAAGTCGAGTGTGTCTCTTTGCACTGGGGGCATTTTAATGAATTCCTCTTTCATTCTGATCTTTGTTCAGCCAACAGAAGCATCCTTTTCTAACGTCTTCCATTCCCACCTACCCCAGAAATGAAAGAAATATGATTTGTAGCTCGCTATCTATCTGTATTTGAATTTTTAGCAATTTTATATTTAGATATCTTTGAAAAATGTAAATGACTAATTTGGTCATTAAATCTTGTGACATATTCAATATTAAAATGATATTAAAATATAAGTCATATAAATATCATCTTTCGTGTATTGCTTTCAATTCTTGAAGTCTTGAATCCATTACCCTGACTTGTGAGTCTGCAGGGAATGGCTCTGGATAGCGGCATTTGCGGGCGGTTCTGGTGGTACCGAAGTCCCTGAAATGCACCGCGGGCCCCCTTAAATACCGAGCAAGACAGGATGACCCTCTTCACTCAGGGGCGACCCTGAAATCTTCACCTCCCTGGAGTACAGAGTCAACACCATTGTCGTGTTGTGACTTACGGCACGCCCGCAGTTGACTACGTAAAGCCCACCTGTCCAGGAAGAGTTGAAGGGGGAACACGGGTGAGCCTCCCAGGTCGACCGAATATCAAGACTAGTGAAATTCAGTTTTTTCTTCGGCCCCGCTCTCACCCCTGGATATTAAGACCACACGCTCCTCAAGGGCACACTTGACCGAGCAGGAACTCAGCCTCCCCAAGGTAAACAGGTGACCCTAGGGCCCCGCTGGGGCTCTCCAGCAGCATCTCCTGACCCGGCTCCCGCCACCAGGGCTTCGCTGAGCATGGGCAGTCAGGCGGCCTGGCTGGTGGCCGCTGGACCCCGACTCAGCCGGCCACCGGCTGAGACGTGCCCCCCCGGATCTGAGGGCCCACAGCTCGCCAGGCGGGCCGCATGCTGGCCCCTTACAAACACGCGCGAGCCCATGTAGCTCCCGCAGCCACCGCGGAGCGGGTGATCTCCTAGCCTTGCGGCCTAAACGCCCCAGATCCTGCAGGTGCCACCAAGGCCCTATGGGGAGGGGCCCTGCTGTTGGGAAAGCCGCCTGGGAGGAGGAAAGAGTTAAGCCTGTCGTGTTCTGTTCCCACCAAACACCTCTGCTTAAATGGAAAGTCCCAACAGGGTGGTGTTGGCCATAAAAGCCCTAAGAGTGATTTGTGAAGTCTCGAAGCCCTGTAATCTCGTCAGCGTAATGGGATTATATTTCAAATCACCACAGCCTGTTCATTACCCATTTAAACTCCTCTGACAGAGGAAAACTTACATGAAACGTGCAAGGCAGCCCTCGCTGACTTCCCTGCTCTCCTTCCTGATTAGACAAACAGATGCTGAGGTCTGGAATGAAAAAATAATGTGCCCATTTATTCATTTTTCTGACAAGTCACAATAGATTTTTAACTGCCAATGAGTGACCTCCCGGAGGTGCGGTGGCGGGGAGGCGCCCGCCAGGCAGCCAGTGGTCATTTCCGCCCGCACCAGCCGGTGCCCTGGCCCGGATTCCTCCCGGGACCGGAGCCGGCAGCCAGGCTGAGCCCCGCTCCCCGCTCTATCCCGGCCGGGGCTGCCCCTGAGCTCAGCCAGGGTGGGAGAGCTACTTGCTGGGCCTCCTTGGCTGTCACTGCATCCCCTCACTGGGGTCCAGGGACCTCCCCCAGGACACAGCCATGGCCTGAAGTCAAAACCCCAGTTGGGAACCCCGGCCCTGCCCTTGAAGAAGGAGCCTCAGTTTTCCCCATCAGTAAAATGGAATAAAGGAAGAGAGCTCATCTCAGTGGTGAGAGGTCAGGGGCCCGGCTTGGGCTGCCCTCAGGTCCCACTCTGGGCTGCCTAGGACGACTGTGCCCAATCAGGGCCCCCAGGCTATGACATGGAGAGAATGGCCTACCCAGTGCCAGACCTTCCCTTGACCTTGTCCCCTGGGGCAATAGGCCTTTGTGGACAGTTACTCGCTGGGTCCCAGGGCCACAGAGCAGGTGGGCAGAGAAAGCCCTCTGGCTCTCTGGTCTGTGACGAAGCCTGGAGCAGGGGTGGGCTGGGGGAAGGGCGGTTGGGTCAGGGATCAACTCTCCCTGTCCCTGGGGTACCCCTCCCCCTCCTAACTCAGAAGTGGGACACTGCTCCTGAGCCGGGCCACCAGCTGGAGGGAGCCCTATGGCGGTGAGTCGCCAGAGGCATAAATAAGATAGTATCACAGGCCTGATGCACAGCAGAGGACAGGTAGCCATGGAGACAAGGGTGCCCAGTCACAGAGTTGCTGGGAACACAGAGGCTGAGGCCTTCCCTGCCAGCAGGACTTTGGGCCTCGGGGGTGGCCCCGGCCCCCCAGGGAAGCGCCCTCCAGGCCCCCTGTCACCACTCAGGCCTGCCTCTGGAGGAGCTCCAGGAAGGGCTCCCGTCTTCAAGCCTTCGCTCTGTGAACACATAAGAAATACCATGAGGCTAATTCTTTTTCAAATGATAAAATTCATCTGTATTATAACATTCCAGCCCCCAGCTTCCTGAAGGCTAAAAATATTTTAATGTCATATTTCCATGTAAATTTTAGTTTAGAATTTAATACCCTTTTAACATACATTAAATTTTTAGCATTCTTCAAGCCCTTGATTCTTTTAAGGGTTTAGCTGATGTGCACTGGAGAAAAGGGCTGGCGGAGGCCGTAAATTAAGAGAGAAAGTTCTAGAAGCGAGGTGGCCCCCAAACCTCTGTGCCCACCGCCTCAGGAGTTACTCCTCCGGGCTGGGGAGCACCTGAGTCAAACCCTGGGTTCCTAGGGAGGTGTCAGAAGTCTCCGTTTCCTTCCTGGAAGGAGCGACTGTGACTGGATTTATGGGGTGCGAGGGGAATTCACCACAGCAGCCTGGGTCTGGGGCGCCAGAGTGGCCTGGGGCCCAGCGCATGGATGCCGCAGTCGGAGTAGGGTCAGGCCCTAGTTCTGCCACTTGCCGGCAGGTGATCTCGGGATGCTTTCTGTGCCGGTTTCCTGGCCCACAAACAGGGCCAAGGTCAGCTTGTGCACTAGTGACGTTTGAGTGAATGCCCATGAAAGGGGGGGGAAGGGCGGTTATCGGCTCCATGGAGACCTCCAGGGTGACCTGCCTGGCCTTGCCGAGCAGGCCAGCGTGACGACAAGTGTGTAAACTCGAGTGGATCATTTTGGGTTGATCTGTGCCATGCTCCAGCCCCTAGAGCAAGATCTCAGTCACCCAGTGATACAGAGACACCACCACATACAAGGCGTCAAGGGCGTCTTTGCAAAGCCTCGTGACTGGCCCAAGGGCTGCGGCTTCACCGCACTCCTCCTCCTGGGGCAGGCCAAGAAGAGTAGGAGAAGGCTCGAAAATGGCAAGGAAGGGTGTTCACAGCTGCTGTTGGGGGAAAGTAGGGTGGGGGCTTCCTGTCCCCAAGGGCTTCTGAGATTAAGGTCTGGGGCCTGCCTGAGAGCTTTCCCCACAGCCTCGAACTCTGGGATCTGGGTCTCCACTGAACGGGCCCTCACCCTTTGGCTGTGAGTCACCACGCCGGAGGCCTCAAGTGAATCCTTCCATCTGTCTGACGGCCCATCTCTGAAATGCGGGCAGAAGTACTAAAACTTGGGGCGCCTGGGTGGCTCAGTCAGTTAAGTGTCTGCCTTCGGCTCAGGTCATGGTCTCAAGGTCCTGGGATCGAGTCCTGGGTCTGGCTTCCTGCTCAGCAGGGAGTCTGCTTCTCTCTCTACCCTCCCCCACTGCTCGTGATCTTTCACTTTCTGTCTCTCAAATAAATAAATAAAATCTTTTTTAAAAAGGAAAAGAAATAATAAAACCACCTTTTGGGGTTGCTGGGAGGACCCGGCGAGATCGCCCACAGGAGAGGGGCTGGTGCAGTAGGAGCCTTCCTGAACGAGACAGCGTGCAGGGAAGGGCTTGCTTGGCCATCTGTCCAAGCAATCATTAGCCAGAATTATAAATTTACAGTGTGGAGACATGAAATCGGGTGAGATGGACAGCTCTTCTTTCTAATCGCTTTCAGGGAAAGATATGATGCATTGATCGACAGAGACGAACCACAGTTTAGGCTCCAACCAGTGTCTGTGACTAAAGCAACCACCTCGTTAACTTAGATCTACAAAGAGTGTCTTCATCCTGGC